TTAAATACAAATCCTGAGACTAACAATCTTTCTTTGAAAAGATTGTTCTTATCCTTACAGGTAATGGATATAAACTAATTAAAGTCCATACTCTCCAATCAAAAAAAAAATTAAAGACATTTTCATCTGAGGGGCCAGTTCACAAAAAAGTCTAGCATAACCCTTCTCTCCTGCTTCATCTACTTGTGGTTCGTTTGGGGGATATGAAAGCTGTATAAGCAAAGCACACTCCTCACCCCCAAGCCTGTAATGGTCAAACACTGAATACCAAGGATTGGCAGGTGCTACAGATATCTTGAAGAGGATTTCAGTAATGGAGTTATCAGCAGACAAAGAAGGAAAACTGGGAAGCATCAGAAATCACAAACAGGGTAGAGGAACCAGAGTTATGTAAGTATAATTTAATTTCACAGCTAAATAGAGACATAACGTGTCAAAGTTTTGTGAGACATACGAAAAATCAGAGGGAAGGAAAGTTTATTCTAAAATACCAAGGCAAGAGTGATTCAAATGAAAAAGCAAAGCTGGGCTGTTACACACTACTTTCATCAAGTGGAAGTCATAACAGCATGACTGCAGTCAGAACGGGGTTGTAATACCTGCTATGTCTCTCACTAGCGTTAGGCCCCCAAGAACGTGTTTAAACATTACTCTTTGATTTTCTCATCTGTTAAATGAGGTTATTTATAGTATTTATTCATCTGAAGACTAAAGGAGCTAATATTTATAAATTAATGACAATAGTACCTGGCTCATAAATACTTAATAAAAAATAGCTAAAAAAAATAGCTATTGCTATTTTGATGGATTGTTAGCTATTTTCCCCCAAATGAGAAAGTATCTAAAATTGTGATATGCTAGAGACAGAGTCTTAGATGCATAGTCTTAGGTCATCATAACAAACTAAAGACACAGTCTATAATCTTAAATGCTTTTATTTACATTTGGTACATTTCCTTTGTTAGTCACGCATAGAAATTGATCAACAGCCCATGAGAAATTAAATAAAGCATTGATTATACTTGTATTCTAATGGAATTAGATAATTAAATTGGTAATATAATTTTAGAATGTAAGAAAAAGGTGTAAATCAAAGGTTCCAGCTTTCTCATGTCGGGAATTCTTAGCATCACAGTAGTTTTTTTAGACTCTTTGGATCAAATAACTACCTGATAGTTCCATTTATTAAGTAGTATTAACAATAAATGTGTATGTCTAACAGCTTAATAGATGCTTTAAAAATAATACATATATTGAAGGACAAAATCATATATTTATTTCATCCTTCAATAAAAACTACTTCGTAATAATACATCTATGTGCCCCTTGGGCACTACACAGCTTCTCTAGTCTTATAATCTGATTAGGTATCTCCATCCTTATTTCCTGTTTCATGTTGAGTTTCCTGTGGTACTTGCTTGTTACTCCAGAAATCACCAAAAACCCCAGCATTGCAAAGAGATAACGTCATAGAAAGGACTTCAGTGTGATGTGTTGTTTATGTCATGAACTTTCCCTAATCAACAGATCCATCAGTGTCCAAACAGATGTAGACCATCCTTACATTTCCCCTGTGTCTGAATATACCCTAAGGCTCCTCACAGAGGCCCCTGTGATGCCCAGGGGCATTTCAACATACAGTTTTAAAACCACAAAAATATAAATTTGACCTACAGCTAACTTTCACAACACAGAAGGAAAAACATATTTTAATGTATTCACTGTCTCTCCACAGAAAAATTAAAGTGGGGTGTTTTGTTTTTTGGGGTTTTTTGGTTTGGTGGGACACTAAATGAGGACATCAAGGTGACAACATCCTTTTGATTTCCATCAGCCAAAATGTAAGGAAGAAATCAGTGAAACAAGGGCTTCAACATATGGAAGAGCCAAGCATCCCCCACAATGGAGGGAACTGTCTCTCAGTGGGAGGAGACCCCAGTGATTTTTATAAAAGATAACTGCTAACATCCAGGCTATGACTTATCAAAGCATTAGCCCTTCAGAAACCAAGGGAGATTTAACACATTACGGCAAAGCCACTCACAAACACTCAGCCTACTTTGAAAGCAAGCAGAGAGAGATGATGTACACCCAAATTTTCTACTTAATCAAAATCTAACACTGAGAAGTATGGCTTCTATACATTTCACAAATTCCTAGTGGCTTTTAGGGGAGCCATGCACATATTGGGTACTCAACTGAATAACTGTTAGCAGAATAATATAATGCACATTAAATAAATAATCCTATACTTTTAGATACTAAAACTATGGCATTTTCTAAATCAAATCTGCTCAGAATATACATTGCTCCCTCACTAAGACAGAAGGGACTATGTATACTGATCATGAGGGCAAAATCTGGTCCTAAACATAAGTCATGTGCCACATTTCCCACTATGTCTGGAAGAAGAATCTTGCTAAGTCTCAGAATGTTCTCAACTTTTGAAATAATTTAATTTTCTCTATAAATATATTTTTGATGCTACTGAGATGTAGAAGTCTTGATATTTTAAGAAGCTTTTCACTATACTTTGATAAGAGCAAGTCACTAATTGGTATAGATATGAAATAATGGTCAAGTGCATTTTCTTACCCAGTACTTCCTCTTCATATGCACCTTCTGCACTACTGCAACCGACTTCACAGAACTCTCTCTATGGAAGACAGGTAGGACACAATTCAGTACAGCCTTTGTGCTGGTTTTGCTAATAAATTTCGAATTTAAAATCTGAAGACCTGTGTATCTTTATAGCAACTATTTCAACTGTAATAAAGTTCCCTCTTGCTAGTGAAATTAGATCAGTCCTTTCAGACTGTTTTTGAACATATTCCACAGTAAAAATAATAATAAAAAATTAAAAATAAAAAATCATTTAACAAAACAACCTAGGATACATATACACACTGAAAGAATTCTTAAAACTAACTTGCTTTCCCCATTTTAGCAGTTTTATTGA